ATTTTCCCGTAACCCGTCGCCCACAGTGTCCCGGCCCCTTCAGACTGTGAGACCCTTGCGCGCGCACCCCTCATTCGCCTAATTGCATTCATACCCTTAAGACTCCCCCACTTCCCAAAAAATCCTTGGCACACCCCTTTTCGCACTTCCAGGCCCACATCCCACTCCGATCAGGAAGTCGCGCTGGGCGTAAGGTTGGTATCGGAGCCCGACGCGTGGCTAGGGTCTTGGGATTGATAGCACGTTAATTAGGCGACCTGGCTAACCGTGGGCGACCTCGCCCTCGGAACGTGCATAGACGCGACCCTATCGTCACCAGAAGCAGATCGGCTAACCGACAAGCAACCAATATGGCTGCCAATGTGCAAAATCCGGTTCCGCAACAAAATGTTAATCCACCCAATCAACCTGCCCCACGTGCACGAGCTCCCATGTCACCACCAGATCTCTATCTATTTGATCCGGCACACCATCTCGTAGGAGCATGGCTGGCCACGCTTAGAGCACAGCAGTACGATGATCACGAAGCACAGATCAACATTCCGGCCCGAATGGGAGGAGACGCCCATCATTGGTATAGTACCTATGTATGGGTGGATCTCCCGACCTTCGAACGAGATTTTATGAACCGATTTGATTATGTCCACCCTGAGAAAGCGTTGTACATGATCAAGGACCGAGTGCAAAAACCGCGCGAATCCGTTGCGGAATATCGAAACCGGTTCTACAGAATGTTCGTAAAAACTGAGCGAGGTGAGCAAGTAGGGAGAGATCTGTTCATTGACGGATTCCGCAGTCGGACAATAAGGGCTAAGTTGCGAAAGCAGTTTTCCCCCATTACCCATACGTTACAACAAATTATGGTTGCTGCGGAAGAAATGGAACGGAAGTTCGCGGCGAACTTCCTAGAAGGAGAAGACTACCCTAGAGACGGAGATTCGACAGAGCTTGCACGAGCAAGAGCAGAGCTGACTGCTTTACAGAACAAATTTGAAAACATGGGGTTTGTATCAGGACCTGTCATCTATATGGAACAGATAGGCCCCAAACGAGTAATCCTAAGCGAGACTCCGAGCATCTCTGCTCCTATGATGCCCCCGCCCGTCAGGGCCTTACCCCCGCCGCCGGTTGAGGCTCCTGTACGATCAAACGAATCGGCGGTCATTTTCGAACTAACCAAAACCTTGATTAGTTTGATCCAAAAAAGCAAAAAGGACCAACGAGAGCATAAAGCTCGGTTGGAAGCCATGATGAGGAACATGCGACCCATTGCGGTGCGTGCCCCTCCGATGCAGCAAGGATTAACCCCAGCCCCTGCTCTCGGGGGAGCTGCGAACAATCTGAATGTCTGCTACGCTTGTCATCAGCCCGGACATCTAGCCCGTGATTGCCCCCACCGACCCCCACAACAGCGGATCGGAGCCGCACCTATGGCTGCGGCTCCCATCGCCAACGGACTTGGACGAGTCGGAGCCCTGATGGAAGAAATAGAGGGTGGGGGAAGTGCCCTGGCTACCTTGGAAGAGGCCGCCGAGCTAATCTCGCTAGACCAATACGTATCGCTAGGATATCCTGGGCTTGGAATGATCGGAACAATCCGACCAGCACCAGAACCGAAAGAGATGGTGGAGTGGCGACCGTCCCTAGGAGAAATGGAGTCGGGAGGACCCACCTTCCTCACAGGGGAGATCGATGTATTAAACATCATCCGAGTTTTGGACCATCGGATTCCCCTTCCGATTGGTCATCTGCTCTCGATCTCCGAGCAAGCCAACGAGCGAATGTTACAACATTGCAAAGCGAACCGAAAGCGTTTCGCCCTTGCCAGAACCCCGAACGCGAAAGCCAAAAGCCCCGCGCCCGAAGAAAACCCCGCAAGTACTTCGGATCCGATACGGATAGGTTTAATCCAGAAAGATGATCATTTCCTGCGAATTAAACCAATTCCGTGGAAATCTGCCGAGTGCGATATAGAAATTTGGGGAATTTCTTACAATGCTATTATAAGTTCGGGAGCAGCTGTGTTGGCTATCTCACTGAGAGCGGTCGAAAGTGCAGATAGAAAAAACGACCTGATCACGCTTTCTGAGAAAGATCAGCTAGTTTTGGCTGACGAAGAAAGAATTAAAACCGTGGGAAGAATGACCAATGTCGCTTTCCGATTGGGTAAAGTGCATGCGCTTGGGGATGTCGTAGTACTAGATGTCAATACGTACGACGTTCTCTTCGGACTTCCCGCTCTTGTGGCGTTACGAGCAAACCTGGACTTCGAACGACGATCGATCGTCCTCCGAAATACAGGAGGAAAACCCTACGCTGTGCCCATGCGATTGACCTTTCGCACTACTATTAACACGGTTCCGTGGGTTTCGCCGATGATGGCAGGGACTCTCCGCATGATCTCTTGGGAGAAATCCGCAGAGGGAGAGTCATCAACAGATGATACGGAAAGCAGTGACGAGGATGATCCGGAGATCTTGAAATTGGCACGACAACGTGTTTGTTACCCGCCGCCCAAAACGATAGCGAGAACGATGCAACTGACCAGCCGAAAAATTCAAAGGACCAAGGCGATGATCTTGGGCGAGCCCCTCGTGCAGATTTCGAGGATGGTTGATTCTTTGGAACCCCCTCAAACTCTGTACGAAGGAATCACCCCTCTCCTCGCCCGGTACATCGACAAGAAGCATTACTGTGACATTACGGATCTACCCAAGTCCTTACTAACCTCGGCTAAAGAAGTGAGATTGTTACGCTTGGGGGCGGAAGCAAACTCTCTGGAACCCCCTGGGCGTTTTGAAGCAGAAACAGACGTGCTGGGGATAAAGATCGCAACTAAGGAAGTTCCATGGCAGGATGTTTGTGACGGGATTACCCCGGAACGACACGTGGCAATCCGAGAAGAAGATGCCCAGATGATGGCCACGGTGTTCTCTTGGCGATCGCGTCATTCATTCATCTCGGCGTCTCCACCCGACTTGACAAAACAGGTGAACACGAAACAGATTGAGGTTCGGATCTGGGACCAACTTTTTGAACTGCACGTTCCACAATACGTGCCAGATGAAATCCACGGGGTAATTGCGGATATTCTAACGGAATATCAAGCAGCGATTAGTGTGTCAGACACCGACATTGGGTTATCGTTAGTAATCCAACATGAAATTCAGACAGGAAATCACTCCCCGATTCATTGCAAACCTTATCGCTATTCCTTGATTGAACACGAAAAGACTCTCGAACGAATTCGGGAGTTCGAAGCCAGTGGTTGGATTGAACCCGCTACTGGACCTTGATCTTTTCCCGTAGTGTTAGTACCGAAGAAGAACAGAGCGATTCGCATTTGCATTGATTATCGCAAGCTGAATGAAATCAGGATCAAAGATGTGTATCCCCTCCCCCGGATTGATGATCTGTTGGATGGGATTGGATGCGCTAATTATTTCAGCAAGTTTGATATTCGACATGGCTTCCATCATATTCTGGTAAGGGAATAAGATCGGCCGAAAACGGCCTTTGTGTTGTTTGAGGGCACGTGGCAGTGGGTTCGGTGTCCGATGGGGATTTGCAATGCGCCTGCCACGTTTCAGCGAGCGATGAACATGACGTTCCATAACTTCGTCAACAAGACACGGCTGACGCAAGGAATGATTAACTTCTGCGTGATCGTGTACATGGACGACATCCTGGTCTATTCGGAAACCTATCACGGGCACGCGCAACACATCAAATGGACATTGGGTGCATTGAGAGACACTGGGTTCAAGATTGCGCTTGAGAAGAGCGAATTTTTCCTCTCGAAAATTTCGCTCTTGGGCTATGTCGTGACACGTGGAGGATTGCGGCCAGACTCGAGAAAAGTTACGACGATGAAGGAAGCTTCGGTTCCCACGTCACTGACGCAGGTTCGAACCTTCTTGGGACTAGCGTCGTACTACCGACGCTTCATCAAGGGCTTTGCCGCGATTGCACGACCACTAACGAATCTGCTACGGAACGACCAGCCTCTCAGCTGGGACGCGGAGTGCCAGCAGGCCTTTGCAACCCTCAAGGACGCTCTGGCAACGGCCCCTATTTTGATTCGACCGGACCCCTCGAAGCAGTTCATTCTCATCACGGACTGGCAACCGGAAGCTATTTCCGCTATTCTAGCGCAGAAGGGGAACGATGGTCGTGAACACGTCATTGAGTATGCGTCACGAACCGTGCCGGATGAACGAAGAAACAACTCCGCACCTCAGGGTGAGTGTTATGCGGTAGTTTGGGGAATCCAACACTTCCATCCGTATCCCTACGAACAGAAGTTCCGCCTCGTAACGGATCACGAGCCTCTGCTAGCGCTGAAGAAGCTCACCAACTATACGGGCATGATTGGCCGTTGGGCGGTGCGACTACAAGAATACGACTTCGATATCGTCCATCGAAAGACAGAGCGACACGGCAACGCGGACGGGCTGACACGTCTGCATCGACCTGCCAAGGTACCAAAGGGCGAAGAAATTACACCGTGGAAAGAGCCGGACTTGACTAACGAGCCGAAGTACGGACAAGTGGCAGTTCTCCCACGTGGCAAGAAGCAAAACGGTGGCGATGGGTGATGGAGGTAACCCCACTACCCCTCTTTCTCCCCCTTCCTCCTCGTCTCTCCTCTCCCTGCCTGACAAATTTTGCTATTTTAGCGAAGCCATCTCCCGCGTCTATTCGGTCTCCATGCGTCCTAACGGGGTGGGATATGCGGATCGGATAGATTGCCGACAGTGTGTTGCACGGGCCCATGGCTCGTGCATCCAATACAGGAACGATGGTAAACCATGGTTGTGCCCCTTGTGCCGGACCGACAAAATTCCGACCGAGGCTCGCTTTTTGGATGCCACATCAGAAGGATTGGAAAAGACCCGAAAGTTTAGAAGGGCCGAAGTATGGACGGATATTGCCTTAATTGCCACCCTAGTAGGTAACCCCCTCCAGGATTTCACCAAGGAAGATCGGAGGAGGGCCAACGAAAGGGCTCGGGATTATCGATGGATAGAGGGTAGATTAGAAAAACGGAAAACGGACGGCAGTGGGATTTGGGTGGTGGTGCCGCATCCGTTCATGCGGTATAACTGGGTTAAGACAGCCCACAAGGAAACTGCGGCTCATTTTGCTGTACGAATCACGGAATCCGCTATCAACAAAAATGAGTGGTACTGGTCCAATATCCGCGACGATGTGAAGTACAACGTCGCCACCTGTTAAGTCTGCGCTGCTGATAAAGCGCCGATTCAGCCACCAAGGTCGATAGTGCCCACGGTTGTTGAACGGCCATTTCAGAGAGTAAGCATGGACACTACCGACATAGTGGTGCCCCCTGGCCCTAATAGTTGCGAATATTTAGTCCTATTGGTATTTGTCGACCATTTCTCGAAATGGATCGAAGCGTATCCTTGTCGCACGTGGCAAGCCACGGAAATCGCACGATATGTCAACCGTTTCCTCGGGATGCATAAGGATACGGAAGAAATCCTGACCGACAACGGGGTTGAATCAGGGGAGAAGTGTTAAGGAATCTGGTCCTACATGTGGTCGCTATACGGAACACTGCACCCCACATAACCGGGTGATAAAGACAGCGTTGCGACGAAACATCGCGGCACGGGATCCGAGACCCTGGCCCGATATCGTCAATCACATCCTGGCGGTCCATCGCGGAACGCCCCATGAATCGACGGGGCTGAGCCCCTTCCAATTAAGGACCAATAATGTCGCTTGCGTTTTGATACCAAGCCTCCCGGATGAGTCTACATTGAACCGACGGCCCACCAGGGCTACGGCTTGGGAGAAGGCCAAACGGCACCTAGAGTTACTGGAACGGTCGCTGCCCAGGCTAGCCCGAAAGCGACAGAAAATGACCGAACTAGCCGAGGGCCGACAGGTCCGGAGCTACGAGGCCCGAAATGGGAATGCGGGTCCGCGGCCCCAGTACAAATTGGGGGACGTGGTGCAAGTGAGGAAATGTGCTCGCCAGGGTAAGCTAGCGCCACGATTCTTCGGGTGATATCGCGTGATCGAGCTCAGCCCCAACGGCGTGGACACCGTGCGTCTCGCCCCGGAAGTCTCTAGCAGTCGATCGGCTCGTCCGATCACACGCCACGTGTCCTATCTTCGCCTCCTTCCCTCTGCTCCGTCTCCCTCTCCCTCAATCTCTCTTTCTGAGGAAGCCGACGGCGACGGCTCGGACTCTCCGCCATCTCCCTCCCTTTCTTGCTCCCTCTCTCCCACCCCGTCACCCCCGCCATCGCCATGAGTTTCGCCATCGAACGAGCTTTCAATGATCAGTTGCTGATGCCACGGGGAGAGATCTCAGCCATCCGCCAAGTGCATCATCCGCGGATCAGCCCCGACTTCATGCACGTTGCGCAGTTCTTCTGCACTGCGGGTGTATACGGCGCGACAGAGTTCCGATTCACGAGCAATCCCCAGGTAGTGGTGCTGGCCAAGGCAACGGCGTTCCAACGATGAGCGCCCTCGGGAATCAGCCACGTGTCTACCGTGGTAGTCTTCAGCGGCGACATCACCTCCTTCGATCCGGCGCGGCAAGCTGCCATCAAAAGCACCTTGTACCGGTGGGGTCGTGATCTGGCCACTGATTGGGATCGACGGCTCACAAGGCACGGTGACGAGTGCTATCCTGCCGACGACATCGAAGTCAACACGCTGCGCACGACGCTACGCGAGCCATCTGTCGTCCTCCCAGAACTTGCTCCCTTCCAGCCGCGCAGATGAGCCGCGCGCCGATCTCGACGTTCTCTCCTCCCTCTCTCTTCCCCATCTTATGGAAGTCCTCTCACTACCCTCGTCTCTCCTTCTGTCTGGAGCCGCTGACAGTACCCATTGTTGATCCGGACCGTTGGAGGCTGTGGCGTGCAGAATTCGTCGAGCTCTTGTTTTGCCTGCTACGAGTGGATCTGAACTGGACGTGGGAAGGCGATCAGAGGCCCTCGTCGGAGATTGTGGAGTTGCTCGTCATTCAGGCGTGGAGGACCAACGTGGCGGGAGAACTTCTGGGATTCGTCTTTGGAGCAGTGGATCGGGGAAACCGATCACAGATCGTGCACGAACTTACGATCATGATCGCGCGATTGGCCAACGAACTCCCCCTCGATATCGTCTCTTAGAGCGACGAAGAACCCGTGCCACATACCCTCTCAAGGACTCTCGCCTCGAGCCTCCAGTGGTTGGCTTCTATCGAGGAGCGTTGGGCGGACGGCCGTTTTCCCTCCCGTAGCGAGTACCTGGACATCCACAACCTGACTAATCCCCGCTTCTTTCGGCAACCAACGACGTTCGAGTGGGCGGCGCTGAGAGCAGAAGAGGAGGCCGAAGAGGAATCGGAAGGAGAATTGAGGAGAGAGGACGGGGAAGCAGCGGCCCGATTGGCCGAGGACGAGGAAGAAGAGCGCGAAGCAGAAGAAGAGTCGGTGGAAGCTGAAGAAGAAGAAGAAGAAGAAGAAGAAGAAGCAGAGGAGGAGACTTCGGAGGAAGAGGAAGAGGCCTATAGCGAGTACAGCGAGGGCGAGCAAAGTGAGGAGGAGGACGAAGACGACGAAGAAGTGGAAAGCGGGGACGACCAGGAGCCAACACACGACGAGCTCGAGTGGGTGCCAGGACCGGATCGGCGAGAGGAGAACCCGGAGGCTGCTGCGCAGCGCAAGAAAGAGATCGCAGAAGGAAAGCGGCTGGCGATCGATCCCGCACTGAACGATCCTTTCAAGGATCCCGGGCCGCCCAAGCCAGAACATGGAGACCTTGCTGCCACGACCTCGGGAGCCGCGACGACAAGGCACCGATCCCGATCCCGATCCACGTCCCCCTCCGCCTCCGCCCGTCCCCCAATTCGTCAACGTGTCAATGAGGGGCTTAGCCCTTCGTCCCCGATCCATATACCACCATCCCCTTAGCTATCTCTCTTTCAATCAGTATTTCCATCGTGTCGTCTACCCCTGTAATCCCTTCCCCATCGCCACCTTCCGACATTTCTACTCCGCCCGCCTAGAACTGACTGTCCACCCCCACCCTTCCGTTCGGTGTGTTGTCCCCGACTACTCCCTCCACGTTCTGCTCCTTAGCGCCGCATGGCGAGGCCGTAACCATATAGAGGTTTACTGCATCGTTACGGGGACCTTCCCCGCGTGCGAGAACCATGATCGGTTCCGCACAGATGTCCTCCGAACCCTCGTATCCCTTTACCCAGACTACCTCGCTTCCCTTCCCCACAGCGGCCAGAGATTCCCCCACTTCCATCGCATTGTCCGTTTTCAAGAACTTCCCTACGACCTCACTGCGATCGGGCGCTTCATACCCGAGCTTACGATGGAGCCGCCCCGCCCTCCCTCATACGTGTATCGCCTTCCCTTCCCCCTTCCGGTTAATTACTGATGCAGCGGTAATGGACGCGTGTCGCGACGACGGCACGAAAAAGATCCCGTCCTTGGATTGTCGAAGAGCCCAATCTGAGGAGCTAGTAGAAGAGCAGAGTTGCCACGTTGGATGACGTCCACACGCAATCGAACGGTAAGTTGCATACAGAGAATTGCTCCGCGTGTCGATCAATAAGAGAAATCGATACGTGTCAACAAGCAAGCAGGAGCTCGCTAATATTGGAACCCCCTGGGCGTCACATATGTGATGAACCACTTTCTGTAACGCGCGATTTTCTGCACGGTTGCAATGAGGGGTCCTAAGCTGGGAAGATTGGGCCAATTACGACAGATCGGGATCGGTGGAGAATTGCATCAGTGTCCTCGCTTTTTCGTCCTTTTTCGTCGTTTCTTTTTCGAATGGTCGGGCACGGGGTCAGGTGTGTCTTGGGACGGCCGGTTGATTGATTGGTCGGATGGTTGTCTGGCGCGACGCCACTCGCTCGCGCAATTAATAAATGTTGACGTCGTTTCTTTTGGTTCGGTTTTCGATCTTTTGGGCGCGGACATCGCGCGGGAAATCGCTTTGTTCTTTTTTCACATTCCCCTTGAATCTTTTTCGAATTTTGTCGAGCCCCCAATGACTCTCGGAATTTCGGACTTTCCTTCTGGAATTCGTGTTTTTTGCTTTTCCGCATTAGATAGGAATTTAGGAATTCAGTAATTAGGATTTTTCCTGCCGCACGGCGCCTTTTGTTTACGCGCTTCTTCATGCGGTTGCAACGGTACTATGATTAGTGGGCGCCCTTAATCGTATGTGTAACTGTAATTTTGGGCGGGCGCCATTGTAACTGTATCTCTCTTCTTGCACTTCATCTCTCCCGCC